GGCCACGGGCAGCCGAGTCCTGCAGTCACAGCTGAGCCTCAGGTGCCTGCCGTGACAAAGGCTCCCATTAAAAGCCGGGCGTCCGCCGCCATCACAGGACTCCCAGTGGCCAGGGGCTCAGCACCGGGCTCCTCGGCGGGGACGGCCTCCCGCGCGGTGCCCGTCCCGATGCCAGGCCGCCCTGCGCCAGGGCGGAGGGCAGCACGGCATGTGCCCGCCGCGTGGGCGGGGCCACGAGGGGCGTGGGCGCGTCAGTCCTCCGTGGTCTTGGAGGGAAGAGCAGCAGGTTCTGGGCACACAGCCCAGGCCTGTCCCCTGCAGCCCAGACCTCTGGAGACGCAGACGGGCAAGCGCCTCAGCTCCCGGCTCAGGGCCGGAGGCCCCACCCGGTCCCACTGGTTCTCTGCCCTGGAGCCCACGCTCTTCCCGCCCTGGGGTTCATGGCTGTGGTTTGGTGGCGGACAGAGACAGAGGGCACCGGCCACGGGGAAATCAACGAGAGTTTGCAGCACTGCCCTCGAGGCTGGGGGTGTGTGGACGGCTGTGCTGGAACGGGCTTGCCCGGGCCACATCTTAGACTCGGGGGACAGGGCCACAGGAGGGCCAGAAGCCACGGTCCACGTTCTCTGTGCCAGCTCCCAGAAAGGTGTTCTTCGGGGGGGCAGCTGGGGCCCTGGAACAAGGGGGGCTTTTGGCCACAGCTGGGCTCCCCATGCGGTTTCCTCAGTGGCTTCTGGGAGTGAGGAGTGCCCTGGGCTGGGTCTGTGCAAATGCAGCCGGATCCAGAGAGATGGAAGCCGGCCGCCATCCGGGCAGCAAGCTGGGGACTGCGGGCCGGGCGGGTGCAGTCCCAGCCCCTCGGGGCCCCTCTGCTTGCCAGCGGCCCCGCCAGCGGGCAGGGAAAGGGTCTGCTCAGTGGTGCGCTAGGCTGTAACTCGCACGCTCTGGTAAAGTCACAGAGATGAGCCAGGTGCAGCACAAGCTTTAATGCAACAGCTTTGGCCCAAGCAGGGCGATTCCCAGGTGTCTCAGGATGTGTGACCTCACCCCCCACCCAGAAACAGGGTACCCTCGGGGCCCTGGGCTGGCCGACCCAGCCGCTGACAGCAAGGCCTCTGGAGTGGAGAACACCCCTGGTCTCTGCTCAGCACCAGGAGCACTGCTGCACGCCGGACACCCCCCGAAGCAGAGTCCTGGACAAGGGCAGCCTGGGCAGGTTGCGGTCCGGACTGCAGAGCGGCGGACAGCCCAGACACCCTTTCACCCAGCGACAGCCCCCGTCCTCCTGGGCAGGGGCGGGGCGTCACAGGCAGCAATGGCTGTAAAGGGGTGGGGAAGTCGGGGGCAGGCAGGGACAAGTTGGAGGAGAGAGGAAGCCTCGCTCAGCCCACCCCTTCCCGGGGCGGTGCGAGGTCCAGAGGTGTCTCGATCCCCGGGGTTCCCGCAGCCCCCGCAGCCCCCTGCAGCACCGGTCGGTCTCGGGTAGGCTCAGGGCAGGGGCGGTCCCCGCTGGAGACCAGCCGGACAGCCCGAACCCGTCCCCGCTCCCTGTGACCTTGGGTCGGCGCCCTCTCACCTGACGCTCCCGCGGCGCGGCT